AGGCAACCCTCCAAGAAAATAAGTTGCAGAGAAGATGCTCAATGAGAAGTTTCTTATGGCAGTGAAATCATAGTTCCCATCCCTATCCCCTGTCTACTATAGATGTTCTTATAATGAAATTTCCACTATGATAAAATCAAGGGAAACATTTACATATGAAAAACCAACATATATATGGAGGAGGCATGGGATCCAAAAAGTTAAGAAGAGAAGGGAAGGAAAGAAGAAAGAAAGAAAGAAAGAAAGAACAGAAGAAAGAAAGAAAGAAAGAGAGAGAAAGACTGGAGGGAGAGAGGGAGGAAGGAAGGAAAGGAGTGAGGAAGAAGGAGAACTTAGTTCATAGCAAGGGATTGTTCAACACAACCTGACTATGGACCACTTTTTGTTTTTGAAATATATTGATAATTAAACATGTTGGTCTTGGTGTGACAGGTCTAGGAGTATGGGATACACCTTTAGTGAAGTATGAGTAGATATTTTGGAAAAAAAAATGGACCAATTTAACCTTATTTTCATTCTCATTTTGTTACACATGTCACAGTGAGGGAGATAAGGTGTATACTTGGTGAGTGTTCCTAGGTGACACATGACGGGCTTTATATGCCTACACATCATCCTACTCTTCATGCCTATAAAAAGCTATCAGGAACACCAGCTACACATACATATTTTTAAGAATTCTAATAGAAACATAAGGATTTTTACCAAACACAGTTTGAGAAATTCTGTTTTGAACAACCCAACTGGGAACTGATTGACTTTTTTTTTAACAAAAAAAAAACAACTTTTTATTTGGATGTCCCCTAACTCTTCCCCCTAAAGAAGTTATCTCTCTCTCTCTTTTTTAATTCTTACAGGCTTTGTCTCTCTTGCACCCTTAAGAAGTGGGGAAAGTAACTTCTCATATTGCTTCTGAGGGGCCCATTTTTAGTTTAGTTTTTTCATTATGTTTAATTTAGTCATTATATTCTTATGTATTCAGTTTTCACTTTTTGTTTTTGTTCTTTCCATTTATATTGTTGTAATAATTATTTATATTTTTCCTGGTTCTGTGTACTTTAGTCCATATGAATCTTTCCATGCTTCTCTGTATTCATCATATTTATCATTTTTTAGAACACCATAATACTCCATTATATTCATGTACCACATCATTTTTAGCCATTCACTAATTGATGGGAACCTATTTTGTTTACTCTTCTTTGCTACTATAAATATACTTCTATAAATATTTTGATATATGTGTGACCTTTCTTTGTATTATCGACCTTCTTGGGATATATGTCTAACTGCAGAATCTCTGCATTAAAGGGAACTTAACATTGAGGGAACTCCCTCCATATTTTTTTTCTTTTTCTTTCTTAGCACAACTTCAAAATGCTTTCTAGAATGTTTGGACCAATTTACAAATCCATCATCTGTACATCTAATCATCTACATCTTATCCAACTACCCACCCTAACTATTTCCTTGACACCTGTTTTGCCCATTAGGATAGTTTTACCCTGAGATCTTGTTCTGAGTGATTTAATTAGCTCATCCCTTAGAACCACTACCCTGGGGCCATGTTTTCCTGATAGGTGAATCAGCCAGTGTAGATTTACATGGTTATGTTTTCCTGAATAATGAATCAGCCAGTGTAGATATACATGGCCAGCTGTATCTAGCTATCTCCTCAACATGCTTCACATCTCAGCCATCTCTTTCCCACTGACTCTGCCCAAATCCATCCCCAGGCCCAGTTTTATACCTTTTGCTCTAGACACAGTAATGAAATTAATATTAACATTACTTCTGAAAATGAATGTCAGGTGACTCCCTTATGGCTCCACTTACTTTTTCTCTTACTTCCTAAAATGAACAGCCCTCCCCTGGCTACCACTGTCATATGTGTTACTTCCCTTAGTATAACATAAGCTTCCTGAGGTCAAGGACTAGCTTGCTTTTATATTTGTTTCTCCAGTACTTAGCACAGTGCTTATCACATAGTGTTTAAATGCTTTTTTAAAAGTTTTACCGATGTTTTCTTTTTTTACATTACATTTACACTTGATTCCCACTTTGAGAAGTCTCTTGTAACAAAGGAAAACAGTTAAGTAAAAATAATACCAAAAACTCATCTGAAAGTGCATGCGACATTTCACATCTTTAACACTTTCCCCCTCTCTGTTTTTTTTTAAATTAACAAATTTATTTTCTCTACCCCCCCCCTTGCACCTACTTCACAGGGTGTTGTGAGGATTAAATGAGATATTTATAAAGGTTCTTACCACAGTGTCTAGTATGTAGTAGGCACTACATAAATGCTCATTCTTTCCCTTTCCCGTTCCTCACCACTCCCTACCATAATTTACTTGACAAGACAAAAAAAATTAAAAAAACAAATTTCTAGTAACAAATATGTAATCGATCAAAACAGTTCCCCTAAATGGCATATGTATATGTGCGTGTGTGTGTGTGTGTGTGTGTGTGTATTCTGAATCTTGATTCTGTCTCATCTCTGGATGGATAGCATGTTTTATCATTGGTCCTCTGAAATCATGAATGATCATTGTATTGATCATAGTTCCTGTGGATTTTGAAATTCTTTATTTTTATAGTGTCATTATTCTCCTGGTTCTACTTATTTCATTATTCCTAAGTTTATAAAAGTCCTCAAAATTGTTCATTTTTACAATACTGATGTTATTGTATAAATTGTTCTGGTTTCACTTACTTCACACATTCATTCATCCCATTCTTCTTTGTATTATACTGATTTATGCATTCTTCTCTAGAATGTGTCCTCAACATTTGGCAATCTACTAACACAATACTTCTTTATAAACAGTAAGCAATCACTAAGTATTTGTTGAATGTAATAGATATGATTCAGAGCCCACGTATCCCAAGAAGACTTCCTCAAAGAAATAAGAAAAGTCCTTAGTCTCACACCTGGAAGTAATACAGTGAGTCAATTCCACCCTATCTACCATTTAAGGGATTATTTGAATGGAACACCACTCTAATGATACATTAAAACATCCATTGAGAAGCTACTAGTTGGAAGGTGCTATGAATCCTGAATAATTAGCTCATTATTATCTTATGATTATTTCATAAAAAGCTTATCCAAAGCAAATCTAACTTCCAACTAAATTGACATTATTATGAGATGATGCTTCTGATGCAGGAGGAGTTGAGCTGATGAGAGCATCACACTCACCCAGACTCAGTTTCCAGGAAAGGCTGATGAGGATATCTAAATCTTACTTTCCCTGACTTAAGAAAACATAAGGAACCAATCAGGTAGAAAGGCAGCCTGTCATAGTGCATAGAGTGCCAACTTTGGAGTCAAGAAGATAAGTTCAAGTTCTATTTCTGCTATACTATCTATATGCCCGTGAGCAAGATGTTTGACTTCTCAATGATAATTCTCTCAGACTATGTATGTTGAGACAACATTACATCAGTGGAGGGAATTTTTGCACTCAGAGTTCCTTCACATAGATAATAAGATTACAATTCTGGACCACCCTTCCCACTTCACTCAAAAGAAAAAAAAATATCAAATGAGCAACAAATCCATCTTTGAGAAGAAGAAAGGAAGAAGAGGTAGTTCAGCTTCAGCTGGTACCCTGCATCTTTCTTTAAATGCCATTTTTTACTTCTTAAAACATTTTTATTTAATGTTTTGAGTTCCAAATTCTATCCCTCCCTCCCTCCCTCCTCCCTGAGATGGTAAGTAGTTATATATAGGTTATGCATGCCTTGCATTTTTCTAAAAATGATCTATTTCCATCCATATTGAAGGCTCTTGAGTATTAACCGGTATTAACTGATTAAAACAAACTATTTAAAGGAATTAAGAATTGATAAGACAACACAGATCACTGGACCTGGAATCCAGAAAACCTGAATTCAATTTTGTCCTCCTATACTTAGTAGCTGGGTGACTCTAGACAAGTTACTTAACCTCTGTCTCCTTCAGTTTCCTCATCTGTAAAATGAGGCTAGCAATAATACCTACCTTTCAGGGATAATTCATGCAATATTTCACATCTGTAACATTCCCCCACTTCTCTATTTTTTTTAAATTATCAAATTTATTTTCTCTCCCTCCCTTAGTATCTACTTCAGAGGGTTTTTCTGAGAATAAAATGAGATATTTGTAAAGCACTTTGCAAACCTTAAAATACCATATAAATGCTAGCTGTTATCATTTATCACCATTTTCTTAGGAGAGAAATTACATTTAATATCTGTCCCCAATTTCATGGTTTACTTTAGAGTGGTACACACATCATCAGATAAAGTCAGTTTCCTACTGAGAAGTAAGTTTCTATATGACCCAAATGATCTTGGATCATCATACCAGCTGGCCTCCAAGCTTCTCAACCATGCCTCTGGCTCATCATCTTTATTCTCCTTTTTGTCAGGGAAACTCTAAGGCTTTAAATCCATTATTGAAGTTCTGATCTTCTTTTCTCCTGGGAGGAGCGTGACTCCCATCTGGTCCACCATGATATGGCAAGGTCCAGCCAGTTTTCAAACCTTCCTGAGAACATAATACTCATTTCATGACAGTCTTTACCCAAAGTCTGCTGCTTCTCTCTAGTTTCTTGAAGTAAATTTTGATGAGCATGCTATGACTTAGTATTAGCAATGAAAACCAAAGATCTGTACATCTGAAGAGTAGCTAACCAAGTGCTAGGCGCTATTCCCAATGGTTTTTGCATTTTTAGGAAATTTCCCCAAGAACAGGGGTTCTTAACCTGGGGTCTGCCAACTTGCTTTTAAAAATAAATATATTTTGATAACTATTTCAATATAACTAATTTATTTTGTTATCCTATGTATTTTATTTTATGCATTTAAAGGCATTATTCTGAGAAGGGGTCCAGGGACTTCCTCAAACTGCCAAAGGGGTTCATGACACACACATGCCAAGGTTAAAAACTCTTGTCCTAGAAGCAGAAATGTTAAAAGAGGACCTATCCTCTTCTGACTATCACTCTCAGTCATTTAGGCAGTCAAACAAAATGGATCTTCCAGAGATGTGGGGAAAAAGAAGCTTACTCTCCGAAGTTGGAAAGAGAATCGAAGACCCTATTTGTGGCTGCAAGAGAGGAAGGGAGCCCAGCAAGGAAACTACCAGCAGATGGTAAATACATTTTTAATTCCTTCTGTCATACTGTGTGGACTTGTGCACATTTGTCCTGCTGTGTTAGGTGCCTTAAATAGCTAGCCATGGAACTGAGTAGCAGTTTTGCTTCTGTCTGAAATATAGGAAACCATGCTAGGCTGACAGAAATGGAAGAGCTGAGAGTAGGATTGGGATGGGATGCATTTGCTTCCAGTTTTGCACTTCTGAAATATGTCACGTGCTGCAGTTCTTAATGCATTGGGGGTTGACTGAACTTTGTGTCCTCTTCTCCATATGAAAGTCAAATATATCAGAATATTTGGAATCCTACCAGCAGTGTCAGTTATATTGAGGCAGGAGGCTACTTATTAAATGGGTAACATCGTTATGGCAACTGTCAGAGGCTTAGCCTTTAGATCCATTTAATTATGGAACCCAAGTCCTCTGAGGAGTGTCAGAGCCACATGTAATAGTCCTGAGTTCCAGACCTTGTGCTCTGTTATACTTTTATTCTTGACATAACATCCCATAGAACCTAACAGGTTGAACTTAACAACCAGATTGAAAATCAGATATAATCTTCGATAAAGCAGAATGAAGAGTAGAAGAGTAGATTGCTAAACAGACTTTCATTGACCCTACAGCTGAAAAATTTCCCCAACACAATGTATTGATATTTAACTAAGGACATACTGATAATTAAGGGAAGAGTTCAGGTTACAACTTTGGTCTTCTATTTCCCTCATCATTTCTTTCTGGGATACAACCTGTAACATGATACCTAATGAAAAACCAAGATGGCACAGTGGATAGAGTGCTGGGCCTGGAGTCAGGAAGACCTAAATTCAAATCTGTCCTCAGACACTTACTAGTTATGTGATCCTGGGCACGTCACTTAACCCTCTTTGCCTCAGTTTCCTCATCTGTAAAATGAGCTGGAGAAGGAAATCGCAGACAACTCCAGTATCTTTGCAAAGAAAACCCCAGATGGACTCACCAAGAGTTAATCACAGCTGAACAACAGCAATAGCTATTTTTCAACAGCTATGTGATAGAAGAGTCCCAGTTTTAAACAGATGCACTCATAGTTATCCTCAGCTAGTTAGCAGCAAGGTGTTAAAGTAGAGGTCGGTGACTTTGTATGAGATACAGATTCTTTTGCAGCTACATATAAATAAATGCAATGGCAGACTGCTCAGGAAGCTTTGCTTCACTGTATATATACACTTAACGTTTTAACAGGAAATATATTGGCTCATTCCTGTCCCAGTCTCCTGGGAATATTTGTCTAGATTTGAAAGCTGCTAGACTCCTTTGCACAGCTAGCAACCTCTGTTTGGGAAAATTCAGGGAAGATTGGTAGGTAAAGACTGAAAATCAGTGATAGAAGAAAATTGGGAGCCTCCCATAGCACCCTCCCACGCAGTTCCTCATTCTGACTATGGCTGCTAATTTCTCATGAGGGACACCCAATTTCACCCTCACTTAGCAAAGGAAAACAAAGTAATAAAACCATCTCTGACCACATTGCACAAACCTTCATTTTGTCACATAATTCAACTTCTACATGGTAGCCCTATTTGTGTTTTTACACAAAGTAGCTCTTTTGGTTTTTGTTTCAAATGCTCACACATGAAGCCTATTGAATTCAATTGAATTCAACAAGCATTTATTAAGCACCTACTATGTGCCAGGTGCTATGGGAGGTGCTGGGGATACGAAGGCAAAAATGAAGAGTTCTTGCTTTCAAGGACTTTACATTCTAGGTGGGGAGAAGATGGAGAATAACATGCACAACTACATACATGTAAATTAGGTTCAAAAGAATTTCAGGCTAGGTGGGAAGAGTGCTAAAACTAGATGGGATGCTTGAGAAAGTCACTAGAGCTGAGCCTTGAGGTACAGCTAGGGATTTCAAGAGGTGGAGGTGAAGAAGGAGAGGAAGGCAGAGAGATAGGAGATAGAATATTATATATGTTGGTTTGGCTGTACCATAGAGTGTATGTAGGGGAATAATGTAAGATAAGTCTGAAAAGACAGGTTGGCACCATTGCAGATGATGAATGTCAGGCAGGAGTTGTTGCAGTTTTTTCCCTTTATTCTAGAGACAACAGAGAGTCCCTGAAGCTTCTTAAGTGAGGGAGTGACATAGATTTGTTCTTTGAAAATATCAGTCTGGTAGGATGGAATGAAACATTTCCAATGTTTTCACTTCTCATGTCATTAATCAAAGATATTTCCAAATCAGCAATTCAAGAAGCTTCTATATTTCAGATAAATTGGAAACAGTATTAGTGAACTTTATAGCTGACTTAACATTCCCATATAGCCCCTATTAAATTCTCAACATAATTATTATAGTGTGTTGAAGTTTACAGATGCTTATAAAAATTGCTTCAAAATATGAATTACAGGCAAAAGACTTTTGCTTGTGGTCATTGTGCACTGAATCCTTTGTTAATAGGATAGAACTCAAAACTTTGAACACTGATGTTGTTGCTTGCACTAATATCCAACTCTGATGCTTCCATGTATTGTAGAAGCTGATCCCAGTCTCTCTAGGGCTATGTCAACATAAGTCAAGCTCTGGGAGATCCCACCAAGCTGGAAAGGTGTCAAGTAAGGCCCTGCTGACAAATCGTGCATCTGTCATCCAAGGACCAACCTAGCTAAGTCTGGAGAGCTTCATCACCTGGAGGCTGGATACCAGGTGATAACTTAATTTGTTCATAACTACTCCTCAAGACCCTCTTTTGATAGAGGTAGCAAGGAGAGATTGTAATCTCCATCAGTGGAGGGCAGAGCCACAAGGAGGAAATCATAGATCTTTGTAGTATTAGAAGTAGAAAGATGATAAGTTTACAAAAACTACCACAGTTGTTTCAGAATGATGTGTTGTACAGAGTTTTCTTGAGTGAATTATTTTGAACAATGCATCAATGAACAGACTTTGGGTTACTCCATTCCTGTGCTCCAAATTATGTTATCTAGTTAATGTCATTGGGGACATTTAAAGCCTTAATTATTACAGCTCAAGGCCTAGAGCTTTTTTTTTTTTAAAGAAATTGTGTTAAATGCACATTTATCCACATTTACCTTCTGACAACTTGTTGATTTATTTTGTTTGAGAAATAAATTAAAATCAAGACTCTTTAAGAGTTCAAGTTCAATTTACTTTTTGTTTAAAGAAAATTTCAATTAAGGATTGTCTAACATAAAAAGCAAAGGAATTACTTATTTCAAAGAATAGAAAAAAATATTAGATATTGTTTTCACCTTCCTGCTTACTGAAGAACTTTTAGGCACTCCTCTCCTTTCTTGGTAAAATAATTCAGGTGTTTCATCCCAAATTAAAGTGTTCTTTTCATCTATATACATATACAGCTCTGAAACTGCTCCTGCTTTGAGGTCAAGGGCTCTCCCTGTGGCTGGGTGCCATTTTTTCTCTTGTACTCCCATGATCCTCTGAAAGAAATCAACTTTCTGTTGCCAGTTCCTCTTCAAGCTAAAGTGTGCTGACTGGGAGCTCAGCTCTCCTTTGTGCTTTTGTTGAACAAATAGGGAAACAATATAGCTCCTGTCACTGAGAGACAGAAAAAAAAAAGTGAAACCACTATTGTGGGTGTCAGAGGACATTGTGGGAGTATCCTACAAACCTTTTCCCCAAATTCAGCATTTATTAGTAGATGCCTTGGGAGAAGGGGCTGTGGATAAAGGTAGAGGATTCCAGCCTGTACGCAGCGTTGTTCACAAGGATCTCATGAGTCAGAGCTTGTTAGCAGGTCTGCCCACCTTTATATAAGTAGTTCCCTTAGGAAAAAAAGATGAATTTAAAAAATGTGACTTGCCCTCTCAGAGAATAATTCCTCTACAATTCTTTTCCCTTTTCATTTCATTATAACTGTGAATAAATACGCTACAGACTTTTACACCCCTCTGGAAACCTAATGCCATAGAGTGGTTTTCAGGAAATTAGACCACTTGAACCTGAGCTACATTGATTCATAAACCAAACTGTTACATGTTGCCACAACTCTAGGGAGACCTTGCCTTTTTAGTTAATAGTGCTTTTTCGCCTAAAAATGAACAATATTCTTCCATGAATGCAGAATGCTATATTTTCAGTATGGTCTACCATTAGCATTTCCGCATGAGAAAAAGTGAGTTTTCAGGAATAAAACTAAATTCTCATTTCCCAAATCCCTTCCCCTGCTGAGCACTGGTACCTTTAAATAACCTTACAGTCAGTCCCCAACAGGATAGCACGAATCTCCCAGTTTTCAAAGCCTACTACTATTAATAATAACTTGTGTTTGTATAAGTGTTTCATTTACCCCCTAAGCAGTTCCACATCCAGTATTTTCTTCACATCCAATGAAAAATTCTTCACCTTTATCCATGGACCAATGTTGTAAAGTAAGTGGGAAATAGGTACTATTGGGCCCATTTTGTAAATGAAGAAACCAAGGCTCAGAGAAGTTATTTGCTTAACATCATACAGTAAGTTAGTGGTTAGAACCACTCATCTGAGTCTCCTGCTTTAAACCCAAGTCCAATGTTCCTTTACTAGACTAATTTAACATGTATTTCCCAAATGTCCAGATGTATACACCGAAGTAAAAAGTGGGCTGGCACAAATCTTGCCATCTGAGAGTTCACAATTTAAGGAAGTAACATACTCTTGCAATTGAAAATAACATACTTACAACATATGTATACATATATGTATATACACATACATGTGTGTATACACATCCTGGGGAAAGTGTTTTGGTATTTGTTGATTCTCTTGATCCCTAAAGCCAGGCATGTACTAGGCATTAAAGCTCAGAAGTGGGGATGTACGTCAGATAAAAGTAGGCACTAATGGGAGTTAAAGGAGGAAAAGAAAGTTAATATAGGAGAGGAGTACTAACAGCAAGAGTAGGAGGTATAAAATAATGGATAATAAAATCCCAGAATCCAATACCTAAAAGGGACTTTATAAATCCTTTAGTCTAGCTTTTTGCTCAGTGTATGAATTCCCTCTTCAATGTCCTAAAAAAAATACCCATCTGCCCTCTGCTTGAACACCTTCAGTGAAGGAGAACTCACTACCTATATTTGGAAGTGTTGCAGGGGAATCAGCATTGTTACATTCCAATGGTACTGTCCTGCATTAAATAGTGATATATTACAGAGGTCTTCTTGGGCAGCTAGTTCGCTTAGTGGTTAGAGTGCCAGGCCTGAAGTCAGGAGGACCTGAGTTCAAAGGCAGCTTCAGACACTTTCTAGCTATGTGATCCTGAGCAAGCCACTTAATCCTATTTACTTCAGTTTCCTCACCTGCAAAATGAGCTGGAGAAGGAAATGGCAAATAAGTTCAGTATCTTTGCCAAGAAAACTCAAAATGGAGTCATGGAGGCTTGAGTCTCACATTCTTGGTCCAGCAAAAGTCTTTTTATGAAAGTCTATTCAGCAGAAAGCAAGTGGAGGATTAAAGAACATAATAAAGTCCTCAAAAATTATTTAAAGTCTCCTTTGTCTTATACCACTTATGATTCTGGGTCCTATGCTGGCTGTTGGTTGCTTTTTTCACAAGGAAAAGAGAAATTAATGAAGTTTGTACTTCTTAACTACAAAGGCCAATAGAAAGAGGGCAATAATGCATTTGTTCAGTGATCTATGAGTAATTTCCACTGTGTTGCACATGGAGCAGGGGGACTACAGAAGCCTAATACCTCTGTAAAATCTGCCACATTATCAAGCATCATGGAAATTTTCCTGGTTTGCTTTGTAAACGCGGTCTGGCCCAATTGAGAAGCATGATCATTTCTGTTGTTTCCATATAATCACTTAACCCTGAGAGTACAGTACAGCCTCACGGAATGAGAGGGAATCTTAGAGTCCATGTAACCCAACTCAAACCTAAGTGAAACTTCCTCCTACAGTATCTCTGACAAGCACACATGTACCATCTCCCTGAAGACATCTAGTAATAGAGAATCTATTAGCTCTCAATGTAGGCCATTACATTTCTGCACACCTCTAATTTTTAGGAAGTATTCACTTATGTTGAGAGATAAAATCTTGCCATTTACCCCTACTCTGCAATCTGGAGCCAAGCAGCTCCTTTGGCACCCACCTTGGGCCTGTGCAGATCCTTCCTTGGTGTCTCAGATTCATTCTGTGGAGTCTGGGTCCCCTATGTCCAAGCCCTATTCTCCGATCACAGTCCATGACCCTGGTTCAGGCCTTGTCATTTCTTTCCTAAACTATTTCAATAGTCCTTTCAAAAATTTCCTACTCCCAAACTTTCTATTCTCCAGTCTGTCCTAAAGATTCTAAAAATCTGGGTATTGGGGCAGGTAGGTGATGCAGTGGATAGAGCACTGGCCCTGAAGTCAGGAGGACCTGAGTTCAAATTCGGCCTCAGACCAAACACTTGACACTTACTAGCTGTGTGACCCCGGGCAAGTCACTTAACCCTAATTGCCTAAAAAAAAAATCTTACTATGTCTTGGAAGGCCCTCCTTTTTCATCTTCATCTTTTAGAATTCTGACTTTCCTTCAAGGCTCACTGATATGTCCTTTGGGAAACAATTCCCAATCCCTTTTGCTGTTATTATGCATTCCGTCTGCAAATCACTTAGTATCTCTCCAGTAGAGTGTAAACTCTATGAAAACTAATACTTACAGCTCAGTCCTATACTGACCATGGGAAAGGAGAGAGGTCCTATAGGATTAGAAAAGGCACAGTACAGATTTTCAGAGAGGGGGAAAAGAATACAGTCTGAAAATTATGGAGCAAAGAACTTGGCCATTCTTGTTTTAGTCTTTTGTTTATATTTATTATTTTATTAATAATATATTTCATTATAATTTTATTTATTATTAAACAGATAGTAAGTGAACATCCAGAAGAAGAAGCAATAATCACCAAGAGCTAAAACAGTTTGTTACCAGAATAATGACATTTCCATGTTTGACAGGGTTTCTAGACTGGTTGATCAAGCAAATACTATAGCTATAGTGTACTTGGGTTTTGGCAAAGAATTTAAAAATGTCTCTTTTGTTATTTTTGTGGAAAATATAGAGAGATGGGCTAAATGAGACTCAGTTAAGTTGATTCAGAAGTGATCAAATGGCCACATCCATTGATGATTTGATTAGGAAGTCTTTAATGGAGTTTCCCAGGGATCTATGCCAGGCAGAAAGGGCACATTCATCAAATTTTCAGATGCCAATAAAACTGAGAGGGTTAGCTAACTCACTGAATGGCGCAGTCAGGATCCAAAAAGATTTTAATAAACTAAAACGTTAGGTTAAATCTAGTAAAAATCAACTGTGTAAGGAACGGAAGGTATTAGTGAGTTCCCCTAGGCTCAGTTTATGTATTCACAGGATATAGTCACATATTATGAGTTTTTAATGTGTTAACAAGGTATAAAATCCCTTTGATTGAGTCAAGAAGGGAACAAGGTGAATGAGTGAGCAAACAAATTAGCCATGTTCCTGGGGACTTTAAATATCAAAGAGATTGTCACCCAGAAAATACTGGAAGAAGTAGACTGAGGGATGGGTCGGGGCAGGATTTCTTTCTCTTCCATATCAACATCAACCATTTGGTTTTGAAGGGGAACTGGTGGAACAGTAGGATATGGTGCCTCCAGGTAGGACAGAGATATAAACTTCAGATAGACACAGATAGAGAGAGTTACACACCTGAAGGAGAAAGCATGACACCTGGCAACAGAGGAGAGAGCCAGCTATGAAGAGGAACAGATCCTGGGAACTCACCTGATTGCCCACGCAGTGGAGACCCTACATCGAGGGGGAGTTGCGTGAAGACCATTCAAAGACAGAAAGCTCTGCAGTACAAAGTGTTGTTAGTTGCCTTTGATGCCATGTATCCTACATATGGGCAACTAGGTGGTCCAGTGGATAGAGCACTGGGCTTGGAATCAGGAAGACTCATCTTCATGAATTCAAATCTGGCTTCAGATATTTACTAGCTGTGTGATCCTGGACAAGTCATTTGACCCTGTTTGCCT